TGGTAACCTTAAATTTGTTTTCAAAATCTGTGAGTATGTTTCTGTTTTGTAAATAAGTTCATTTATATCATTATTTAAAATTAGATTCCACATATAAGTGATATCATATGGTATTCGTCTTTCGCTGTCTGACTTACTTCACTTAGTATGATCATCTCTAGGGAAAAGCTAAGAATTGCTTCTGTGATGGCAGTTTTGGGAAACGGTTTTTATTCTGAGAGCATGAGCTCTATAAAAAGTAGGACCTGTATAGGTGGGACCAGAGCTACCAAGCTAACGGCTCTGGCCCTGGGCTCTGACGCTGGTCCAGACACAGGTGTGCTTTTGTGGGAGCTCAAGCCCCTTTCCAAAGCCTGCTTCCTCCTCCCATCTCACTTCATCTCTTGCCCTGATGTAGTGACATGCCTTTGCTGTTCCAAGGCGTTCTGACATTTGTTGGCATCCCTCCTGGACATGCTGGTTGCCCGGGGCGGGGGGAGGGGAGGGCAGGGCGGGGAAGGTGTTGTTTGTCTTAAGGTCCTGAGTCATTTTAGAGTATTGGTGTCCTTGGAGACTGACTTTCTCTTACTCAGATTTCCAGAGAGAAGCTTTGCAAAGCAATAACATACCAAGAATCCTCTTTACCAAAGATTAAGGTAGCAAACCTTGCACACTGGTGCAAAATTTGATAACAGTTTCAATTTACCTTCATCTTTCCCTTGCAATTTCCATGGTCCTCCAGCTTGCTCACGTTTCTGCCTTTTTCTTGCTGCCAAAAGTAGACACTGCAAGTCCTCAAGTTCTTTAACTTCTGGGCAATTGCACTGTTTGTACCTAGAATCACAGAACTCGATTGATGGACTGCATTGGTCCAGACCTTTGTTGCAGGTCACGTTATGGGATGTGGTTGAGTGTTTCCATGAAAGTACTCATCCGCACGTATAAATGTTTCACAGGTCACACAGCGTCTGTTCTCACAATAGAAACCACAGAATGTCAGCCCTGGAGGAAGCCTTGAGAGTCTAGCCCTCTTGGTTTTGCATCCCTGGGAGCAGATTTGATGTCTCAAAATATAGATGCTTTTTGGAAGGGCAGCACATTCATTTTATGCAGTCACACCATATGCGAATGAGCGTATCTGTTCTTGCCCTAAGAGCAGACATTTCTAGGAGGAGGTGGACAGAACGGTTCATTGCAAAGGACAGTGAAAGACCCTGAGGACAAGCCTCTACTGCATTTCCCCAGACCCTTCCTCTGGCTGTCCTGCTGCCATTCCCATGGCCTCACCCCACCCAGACTCTAGCCGTTACAAACTGCTGCCCATCAATCAGCATTGCCCGTGTCACCACTGCAGAAAGGAACCCTGTGCTCCTGGCTGGCATGATTAGTTTCCCAGCCACAGTGGCACCCTCGGCTCCTGGAGACTAACCCTCCTCCCTGGTTACCACACCATTGTTCTTCTCTGGAGCAGTCATCATTCACAGTTGTTCAGAGGTTAGAGAACAGAGTCACTTTGTCTCTGCAGCCAAGCAGGATCCAGCACCGCTTCTAGGCAGGTCGGGGGACGCCCTGGAGGCAGAGGTTGCAGGCTGGTCCCACACAAGGATGCCTGCCAGCGCAGCCTGTGAATCTAGGCCACGCTTTATTTGCCATGTGTCCTGATGTTTCTAATTTGCACAGATTCTTTGTCAACTTGCCAAGCTCTACATCTACTGAACTCCATCCGCTGAGAAGGTGCCTCTTGCAAATCTACAAAGCTTGACTTTATGTGCCAGGGTGGGCTGCCAGGGCTGGGGCCTTGGGAGCGTGGAGACCACGGGCCTTAGAATCGTTCCATACTCCCCGCCATACAGTGATGCTTCCAGTGACTCAGGGATTCTAGTCCCACAAAAGTCTGTCATTCTCATGGTCTTCTTTTTACTTGTCTTTCCTCCGTTCTTCCCTCCCTCCCTCCCTCCCTCCCTC